CTTTAGGGTTACCTTTAGGGTTACCTTTAGGGTTAGGTTTAGAGCGCGCTTCTGTCAGCGTGCTGTTGTTGGCGCGCTTCTGTGCTCATTCGTTGGCGCTATTTCAAACTCGCGCTTTTCTCCCCACAGTTTTGTCGGCGTGCTTTTGTCGAACACGCATTTGTCGGTGAACCTTCCTTGAGCCTATGGTAGGGTGAAAACTGCCTCCCCAGGTTCTGGAGGCCCTCCGGAGGCCCATTTTTCCCTGTCCCCAAGCCTCCGTGCGGGCTGTGCACTTACCTCCCCATCCAAAACGGGCCACGTGGAGACTCCTGGGAGGGGCGGGGTGGGGCAGGAGGGGCCAGGCAGGGGTGGGATTTGGAGGTTCTCCGAATCGGCCATAACACTTCGAGTTCGAACTCATAGCAGCCCACCCGAGCGATTTGATTTGAAAGCCGTCTGCTTCTTCCTTCTTTCTCCCACGCATTCAGCTAGAAAGCCCTGTCTTGTCTGAGCATCTGGGCCAACCTGCAGCTGGCAATCACTAATGGGCGCTACCAGCCTCCTTATCTTCTCCACTTACGGGAACGATTAACAAAGTTGAAAAGAAGTTGCAGAGGAATTCCAGGAGGTAGGCTTCCGAAGGCCGCAGCTTCCCGTCTATGCTGATCATCTTGGGTACCTCGGGAACCAGGCTGATTGCCGCTCTGAAAAAGGCGTCCGCTATAAAGAGATCACAGTTGAGGGAAGGGCAAGGGATATTTCATTAGCAGATTGAACTTAGGCTGATCAATGTGTCTGTTATTTAAAATGGATTACAATCAAAATAGCAATAGCACTTAGACTTATATACCGCTTCACAGTGCTTTTACAGCCCTCTCTAAGTTTAGAGTCAGCATATTTCCCCCAACAATCTGGGTTCTCATTTTACCCACCTTGGAAGGTTGGAAAGCCGATTCAACCTTGAGCTAATCAGGATCAAACTGCTGGCAGTGGGCAGTTAGCCTGCAATACTGCATTCTAACCACTGTGCCACCAGGGCTTCTAATAGCAATAGCACTTAGACTTATATACCGCTTCGCAGTGCTTTACAGCCCTCTCTAAGCGGTTTACAGAGCCAGCCTCTATTTCTATCTTAAATTTCAACCGCTCATTTCCCAGAACACAGGGCTTTATTGTCTTCCTAAAGATTCTTAAGGCAAAAGTCACAGAATGTATGAATTTCAAGCCTTATCTTCAGTTTATTCTGGTTTTAAAAACATGCAAAAATATCTAGCGTCTAGACTATAATCACATCAGGGGACAAGTTTAATTTTACCGCCTGGGTTTAAAAAAAAAATCCTATCTGCACAACATTGTTAAGTATCTAATTCCATAAAGAAGAATATTTTGGGCTTCTAAAATTATACATCTCCCTTATCTTTTTTTAAGTGCAGCTTTCACCAACTCACTTATCCCACAACCGAGTTCACTTTAGGTGAAAAAAATAACAATTAGGGACCAACAATTGTGTACATCAGAGTTAATAACTTGCATGAAAGAGCTTAGTGTTTGTGTTATTGCTAAAGTCAAACAACGCAATTAGCATTTTGAAGGCAGACGTCTTGACTCAAGTGGCTGCAAGCAAAAGTATGTAATTAAGATCATCACTTCATCCCGGGATAATTTCATTTTTTACATAAACCACAGAGCCTGTTTAGATCCAAAAGTGATGGAAACTGTGGTAGGGCGTTGGTTGAGGATAAGCCTGGATCAAACCGTGATTGTCCACAAGGGAGGCCAAGGCCAGCTGCAGGCCAACTGAACCAAAAAAAGGGTTCGGATCAAATTTGGTGAAATAGAAGGAGGGGAAGAAGGAGACGTGATTTTTTCTGAGGATCTTTTGTTTTTTTACTCAGATATGCAGAATGTTCAATATGACAGCTCTAATATTACAAAAAGATGAAAAGGATCCTTTGTTCCTTTCTTCAGAATACAAATAGTCCTCAACTTACCAATCATTCATTTAGCAACTGTTTGAAGTTATGATGGCACAGAAAAAAGTGACTTATGGCCTCCCACACTTACGACCACCAACAGCATCTTCATGGTCACATAATCATGATTTATGTATTTTTTCCACCCAAATATGGGAAGGAGCATGCTGCTTCCCTTTCAAGCAGCCCAGGTTTGAATCCCAGAAGGGTATGGCTAATTGACGAGACCTAAATATCTTGAAATAGATGTATATTAGTATCCCTTCATTTCTTTTGTCAATAAAATATAAATTTAACACAGAAATAGTTTGTCGTGAAAGCGACTGCCTGCAAAGGTGCCTGGATTGGGGTTGAAAGGGGAAAAGGGGAAGCAGGCGCCTCCCTCCCATATTTGAGTAGGCCAGGTTGCCCTGATAGAAAAAAAAAACACTTAATCTCTCCCCTGGTACAGCTAACAAAGCGAGAAGAATCTATAGCTTAGAGGTTAATACATCTACCTAATATGCGAGCAGCCCAAGTTCAAATCCCAGAAGGGTATGGCTAGCTGATGAGAGGTAATTAGCTTGAAATAGAGCTATACTAGTCTCCCTTTTATTTCTTTGTCAGTAAGTATAAATTTAACATGATTTATGTACTTGGCAACTGGCCAATGGTGGTTGCCTCCTGGGGTCATGTGATCGCCATTTGTGACTTCCCCTAACCGTCTTGCAACAAGCAAAGTCAATAGAGGAAACTGTGTTTACTTAATGACACTGTGATTCACTTTAATGACTATGATGGTTTCCTTGATGACCGTGACAAAAAGGTTGTAAAATCAGGTGAGATTCACTTAACAACCCCTTTGCTTACCAACAGAAGTTCTGGCCCCAATTCCGAATTCCCTTTCCGAAGAGCATCTATTTTTTCCCCAAAGCTAATCCTTATTGTCTTTAGAATTATTTTGAATAAAATAGACTGTAGCAAATAAATAATAGGAAATGAATATAAGATGATTCAAATGTATATAAAAGTTGTTATATTTATGGTTTATGGTTTATTAAATTTGTATGCCGCCCTATTCCCAGAGGGACTCAGGGCGGCTAACAAACCAAGGGGAAGGGAACAATACAAGAACAAACAAGACGAGAAACAAATTACAAAGAACAGATTTTAAAAAACTCACAACAGTCACAAAATTTGGAGGGGGGCGGGAAACGCACCACCCCCAGGCCTGCCGGAACAGCCAGGTCTTAACGGCTTTGCGGAAAGCCTGAAGGGTGGTGAGGGTCCGAATCTCCATGGGGAGGTCGTTCCAGAGAGCCGGAGCAGCCACAGAGAAGGCTCTCCTCTGAGTAGTCGACAGTCGACATTGCCCGGCGGATGGAATTTGGAGGAGGCCTAGTCTGTGGGATAGTCTCTGCTTCTAAATGCTTGCTCCATTAAGGT